TTTCCTTTTTCTCCCCAAAGCCCCCAGGTACATAGTTGTGTACTCTCAGTTGTGGGTCCTTCCAGCCATGGCATGTGGGACGCCACCTCAGCATGGCCTGATGAGCGGTGCCATGTCTGCACCCAGGATCCGAACAGGCAAAAACCTGGGCGAGGAATCAGAGTGCGCGAACTTAACTGCTCAGCCACAGGGCCGGCGCCCAAGATCGCCTCTTTTGAGGGTAGCTTTCTTCTTTGGAAATGGTAGCACAATTTAGCTCTAGATCTTGTAAATAAAGTAGGTCATCAAGCATAGTAAAAACATGGTGGGTCAAAAATAAAGCTTGAAACAAACCCAGTTAAAAAACAAGTAAAAGATCTGAATAGATGTTTTTCCAAAGAAGATATACTATCAGCGGATAAACACGTGAAAAGGTGCTCAACATCATTAGCCATCAGGGAACTGCAAATCAAAATCACAATGAGATACCACTTCACACATACTAGAATGGTTATAATCAAAAAGACAGACAATAACAAATGTTGGCAAAGATGTGGAGAAACTGCAACCTTTACACATGGCTTGTGGAAATGTAAAATGATACACCTGCTTTGGAACAGTCTGGAAGCTCCTTAACAGTTACACGTGGAGTTATCATATGACTCAGCAATTCCACTCCTAAGTATACACCCAAGAGAACTGAAAACAGGTCTACACAAAAACTTATACGCAAATGATCAAAACAGCATTATTACAATAGTCAAGATTCAGAAACAACCCATATGTTCATCAACAGATAAATGGATAAATAAAACGTGGTACATTCATACAATGGAATATTATCTGGCAACTAAAAAAAATGAAATACTCACACATGCTTACAACATGGGTGAACCTTAAGAACATTATTCTAAGTGACAGTAGCCAACTGCAAAAGACCACATATCGAACGATTCCATTTACAAGAAATGTCCAGAATAGGCAAATAGACGGAAAGTAGATTAGTGGCTTCCAGGGCTGGTGACTGGGGGTGATGGGCGGAAATAGAGAATGACCGATAATGGGTAACAGGTTTCTTTTTGGAGTGATGAAGATGTTTTAAAATTAATTGTGGTGACAGTTGCATAACTCTGACTATACTAAAAATCATGGAATTGTACCCTTTAAGTGGGTCAATTATGTGTTATCTGAATTATATCTCAACAAAGATATCATAAAAAATAAGGCTTGGTTTTCAAATTAATAAGGTCGATTTAATTTTATGGCTTCTATTACTGATAGCTAACCATGTTCTGTACTTATTGTCACACTGCACTGAGTGATTTATATATTTTAGTTCATTTAATTCTTACAACATCCCTATGAGGTGAGTAGATTTATTGATCTCCCTTTCAGAGATTAGGAAATCAGAATGCAGAAAGATTAAGTAACTTCCTTAAAATAATACAGTGATAACTTTGGGGCCAAGATTTAAAATTCAGGCTTGTCTGATGCTAAAATTCACTTTCTCCTTGTTTCATTAAAAATTTTATTTTAATAGTTATTATCCTTACATACTTCAAAATTTGAAGTGACATGAAAGGCATACATCCTCTTTCCACCCATCTTCTTCCCTCTCCTACAGGTGCTGGTGGCCTTAGCTTCTTGTGCACCTTCCAGCATTTCCTTACATAAACAAAGCACATACGATGTACATTATTTCTCCCTCTTCCATTCAGATGAAGCAGCCCCTGCACCTTGTTCTTCACCTTGCTTTCTTCACTTCACATGGCGGCTCAGACATCCTTCCATATTACTATTCCTCGTTCTTGTGTTCATAGCTCCAGAGTACTCCAGTGCCTGCATGCGCCATCATCTATTGAGCTGCCCCCCTAAAGACGGACACTTAGATTCTTTCTAAACTTTTGCTATTCAAACAATGAAAGCTTATGTTTTGAAATCGCCTCCAAAGGCAAGAAGGAAACACAGAAGAAATTTAATCATTTGTGAAATAAATCCCTTGCCTCAAAAATTGGCTACTTTGAAGGCAATAACCCTCATTTAAATGTATTAAGTGGGAAATATTTGTTAAAAACAAACTAATTGGATTACACAAGAGTCACAGTCCCATGTGGGCTGGTGAGGATATTCTATCTCTAGAGACTAGAGGTGCAAATGACACTTTAAGAGGGAAGCTCAGAGACTTGCAAAAACTAACATTCTAAGACCTTTATTTATACTTATTTGGTATATTATTTCCACTGATTAATATCTGTAGAGATGAGGAATCAAATATTCCATACTGAATCACATATCACCCTTATGGCGAATTTCTATATGACATATATGTTGAGCCAGTCAGTTCACTTGGGTAGAATGGATTTCCAATTCTTATTATAGTAAACCTAGACCCAAAATATTTTAAAGCCACCCCAGCTGTCTTTAGAACTTCTATTATCCATCATAAAAATAACTTGTCAGGTTTTTGTTTCATTTTTTTAAAAAGAAACCATCACTTCAATAAGGCTATGGATTTTCCAAAGGCTGCCAATATGAAATGAGTTTGAACATTTTGAACATTAACATGCAAAGGATGAGCAATAAAAAAGGTAATATGAGTGCAGACAAAATATCCAAGAGCTAGAAAACATGATCTCTTCTAAAGGGAACAGAATGAAAGAATTCAAAATGCACAGCTTTTCAAAGCTAAAGAAAGTGACAACAACTGAATTGAAAAGGCTGAACTTAGCATTACCTTCCCAGAACACAAACGTATATTTAGCTTAATAGACTTGAGTACTATCTCAGGAAAAATCTTATATATTATGCATCTAGGGCAATGAAAGCTGTAGAAAATGATTTTGCAAAGCAAACACTGTGCGGGCTGACAGTAGCAGAGGAAAGAGTCTAAGGCACATGTGATGAGTTTGGGTCTCATTTTCTATATATCATCACAGGAGGAAAACAAAAGAGCGGAGGAAACCTCGGACTCTAAATAAAACCTGGCAGAACGATGCTTGTGGTTGAAACTTAAAAAACGTGTACGTATTTTCTGATTATAACCATAATGTGGATTTACACCGGAAAATATAGAAAAATACAAAGAACACAATTTAAATCACCCACGATCCCAACAACCCAGAGAGAACCATTATCAAACTATCAGCATATTCATTTGCAGCCCCTTTTCTATGTACCTGTAAAAATATGTTCTTTTTACAAAATTGGGATCATATTATAAATAAAATTTTATACACGCATACATTTTATACATATTATAAATTAAATTTTATAAATAAAATTTATACCTGTTTTCTCTACTTCCTAAGTACTTCTTGAGTACTTTCCCATGTTGTCATATATTCTTTGCAGATGTAATCCAATGACGGCCTTATATTGGATCTTACGAATTTAAGCAGAATTATGATTCTTTCCATATTGCTGGACCTCTAGGTTGTTCCTTATTTTTCAGTTTTATAAATAGCACTGCAGTGGACTTTCTTGTAATAAATCTTTGGATCTCTACTTACTTCTTAAGAGAAACTTAGAAGTATACCAGATTCAAATTTAAATTACTCAGTGTACCTGAACCTATAAATTTACCATTGGAAATCTCTGGAGACAAAATGCAAATAATACATATCAAACAAACAATACTATTTTCATACCACTTGCACTCTATATTTATCCTTCTAGAGCTGTCATCTTTCAGGCGGTGCATTACCTCCTCTAGGCAAATGGACTATTACTGGTTAATCTAAATGCAATAACATGAAACTTGGCTGACCTAGTTTCCTCAGTATCAGTATGCAAGCAATTACAACATTCTACAGATTGAAAAATACCCAAGGATCTCAAAAATATATATTTTATCATCCTTTCATTTCAAATGATGTACAATGGGCATTAAAATAAAATAAAGGGTTATAGCCAATGGAGGTTGGTAGCAACCAAATCTTATGTAGATATACAAAGTTATATAGAGTGTAATTTAAGGTTTTCTTCAAATTCCAGCTTTATTTTGTCACTTCCATAGTTACAAGGCTCTTAAATGCTCTTGACATATTGACGCCATTAATGATTCTTGTTTAGAATTATATCGTCTTAATATTCCAGTCTTAAATTTCCTACAGTCTACTTTAAAAAAAGATTCTATTTTCAAGATGCTAAATAGTGTTCTCACAATCTCTAATGTGTCTGTGTGTGTGTGTGTATGTATACATACATATAGATCCAGACACACATTTCTAAAATGTTTCTCCCATTAGTCAGTGGGAAAAGTCAGTGAAAAGCAAATTAAAACAAAACAAAACAAAAATCCCACTTACATCACTGGTCATATGAACTACGGAATCACTCAAATTCAAAGGCCCCCTCAGAACTGGTGGTCAGACTAGGACAGCTTGTGCTGCACTGTACAGTTGTGCAGACTACACACTGTACAACTCTAGGGGGTGCGATCATATCCTGATCTACGTGACTGGTACACTCTGGGGTTGTGCAGGGCACAACCTATATAGCTGTATGTGATGACCTTGAAATTAGCTCAGATAATTCTTTCTGCTAATCTACTACTTATTTGTGCATCCTTCCCCCTAGTGAACTATGAAAAAGAAAAATTTCAGGAGGAACATGGCCTTTAAATCCGTATTTGTTTTTTTTTTTTAAAGATTGGCATCTGGGCTAACAACTGTTGCCAATCTTTTTTTTTTTTTTCTGCTTTATCTCCTCAAACCCCCCTGTACACAGTTGTATATCTTAGTTGCACATCCTTCTAGTTGTGGGATGTGGGACGCCGCCTCACCGTGGCCTCACGAGCGGTGCCATGTCCGCGCCCAGGATCTGAACCCTGTGCCGCGGCAGCAGAGCACGCGAACTTAACCACTCGGCCACGGAGCCGGCCCCTGTATGTTTTTTTTTTAAAGAAGCAAATTCTGCAGAAAACAATAACAGTTTCTTCCTGGCCCCTGTTTGTTGTGAGGGTAAGCGTTTCTTTCCTCCCATCTCCCCTTCCATCCACCCACTAGGAAGCAGCGGGATACCTTGTGTGAGTAACTGCAGGTTTCTGACTTCTTCTCGCACCTTCAGCTGGAGCACCTGCTGTAAGATGTGCTGCCGGAGGTTCTCCTGGGCAATCCCCATTCGTTCAAGCTTTTTGTCAGTAAGTCTCAGCAGGGCTCGCCCTGCAGGGTTTCAAAAAATAAAAGGAAAAGCAAATGAACAATGCCTGGAAAAGAATTTCTATCTTAGTCTTGGCTAATCCTGCCATAACAGAAGTTCCCATCTAAACACAGACACTTGAGAATAGAGGGTCCTACATTATTCTTGCTGATAGGAATGGATAATATGGGTGAAGAAAATCCACAAATTTAAAGAAGAACCCCAATTTTTATCTAATATTACTGATCCCCAACAGACTCACACATTGAGTTAAACAAAACAGCAATTTTTTTTTGGTGAGGAAGAGTTGCCCTGAGCTAACATCTGTTGCCAATCTTCCTTATTTTTTTTGGTTAAGGAAAATTAGCCCTGTGCTAACATCTGGGCCAATCTTCTTCTACTTTGCTTGTGGGATGCCGCCACAGGGTGGCTGCTAAGTGGTGTAGGTCCACATCTGGGATCAGAACACATGAACCCCGGGCTGCTGAAGCGGAACGTGCGAACTTAACCACTACACCACAGGGCTGGCCTCTAAAACAGCAAAATTTTAACCTGGGTATTTGGGTTACAGATTGCAGGTTTCCATAGAAACAATGCTCTTCACTGGGTGATGGATTCTGAGGCTGGCCCATAGGAGCCCGTGTCACTGACAACCCAACTGAAGACCTGGATGCTCTCACTCTGGTTCTAGAGAAATTCCGGCAACATTACACCTTGTTTACAACAACGTTTCTGTGAAACATGCATTTCAAGTGCCAGTTTTAATCTACAGGCATTCAACAATGCTGCTGCTCCCCTGGTGCTGGGCTGAAGTTCCATCTCTAGCTGGTGGGAGCTATGCCTTAATCCCAAACCAAAGGCAAGGGTTCCAGCAGGGCAGAGGGTGACAGGAGCAGCGTGAGCGAGGGCTTCTAAAGACTGCAAAACAAGAGCCTTGGGGTGAGTGCCGACAGTGTGCAGACACCCTGGGCAGCCTGGCATGGCCTCCTTTCAGCACCTTGCTCTCCCTAGAAGGTCTGCATGATTCCCTTGCTACTCCGGTTTCCATCAAATTCCCCAATTCTCCCCTCTCTGTGCTTGCCCTGAAATAAGCATTCGTCCATTGTGAGAGTTTAGCGCAAGAAATAAAGGGAACGATGGTGGTTAAACATCCATTGCATTAACCTGTACTCTCTCTCCCTCAACACCTCCAGTCAGCACACCTACAGATCTTTCCTCATTTCAACTAATGAAGAATAAACAGAGTTTGGGTATATTAGCACACACATTTCAGAAAATAAATGCTCTACCTCCTCAAAAAAGAAACCCGACAGCCAGAAGGTAGGGTTAACGGGCATTAGGGGAGGCTATGTGGCCTGTGACCAGAGACAGGTGAGTGGGGAGAAGCAGTTAGGAGTGATCTGTGCTGTTCACTCCTCTCTTTTACCTCCCTTTACCCCTTGCCCAATGTACCAGTCAGAATAAGTCAGGTTTCATACTGTCGTAACGAACAACCCTAAAATACCACAGTGGCTACAACAAAGTTTATTTCCTGCTTATTCCACACCTTGACTGCAAGGCCATCCCTGTTGAATATTGCTGATCACTGTACCAGAGGTAAAAGAGAAGGTTCTAGAACGTCTCATACCATCAATGAAATGCTCAACCTAGAGCCATTTATAAATCATTGGCCAGACTAATCACATGGACCTTCCCACCCACAAAGGGGCCATGTACAAATTCTGCTTCCAACATGTGCCAGGAAGGTGGTGAGGGGAAGAGAAATATTTGATGGGTGGCACTGATGAGAACCACAGCAATATAGACTTGGCTTTGGACCAGGGCCTGGCAAGAAAGTGAGTTCAGGCATGTGTGCATGTTTGCAGTGGTGGGTGGTGGTCTGAAGCTTTGGTAAAATCTGCATCTGGAAGAGGATAGAGAAGTAGTGGGAGGGGAATGCTAGGTAGCTATCGCTGAGGCTTGGCAGCACCAGGCAGATCATGGTGGTCATGAGAAAGGAATAAAATGACAAACACAGACTCAAGTAGTTCTGATTATCTTCTGTGACAGGCAGAAAAATGCCCCTCTCTCCAAAGATGTCCAGGTCCTCATCTCTGGAACCTGTCAATTTGCTATCTTATATGACAAGAGGGACCTTACATATGTGATTACATTAAGGATCTTGAGATGGGAGATTATCTGGCATTATCCAGGTGGGTCCAATCTAATCACATGGGTCCTTATAAGGGAAAGAGGGAGACAGGACAGCCAGAGAGAGAGAGAGATATGACAATGGAAGCAGAAGTTGGAGTGACGTGACAGTGACCAAGGAATTCAGGTTTCCAGAAGCTGGAAAGGACAAGGGAATGGATTATCTCCTATACCCTCCAGAGGGAACGCAGCTCTACCAACACCTTGATTTTAGCCCCATAAGACCCATTTTGGACTTCTGACTGCCACAACTGTCAGATAATAAATGTGTGTTGTTTTAAGCCACTAAGTTTGTGGTAATTTGTTACAGTAGCAATTGACCTTGTGACTGGAACTCGAAGTTTGTAAGAAGTCAACAGAAAGCCGTTAGACTTCCTTTCTTTTCCCTTTCCTAATTTCTGGATGGTAGCATACTCAAAAATAGAGAGCAGGGGGAGAGCTAAGAGTAGTGAGCCTGTGTCCACCCCAGGCTTCCAGGACAGCCCTGCCTTCAAATGTTCTGCCCACTGTCAGACCTTGGTCCTGAAGTTTCACTCAGAAAACAGAGAATGGGACTTGGGTATCATTTATGTGGATGATCGGCCTCTAAATAATAGCCATCTCTCTCTCTATACATGCCCTCAAATTAACAAATACTGCATAAAAAACTCGCTCAAACTCAGAAGATCTAAATCCCTCCCAACAGCTCCATCATCACCCTCCCTGCTCTCTGTTCCCCATTATTTGGGCTGTGGTTTCACAAGCCGTGACATTCAGCAGCCAGAGCTGCCGAGGCGTTGGTAAGACACATGGGAGCTTTGGTCCTGAGAAGCTGCCTGGTCTGACACTGGAGCACAGAGCTAGTAAATCAGAGTCAGGGTTTTATTCCAGTGCACAGGGCTCAATTTTTCTATTTGATGGCCTCCTGAAAACTTCTAGCCTCAGCTTTTCCGTTAATGACCTGACTGGTCAAAGTGTGGATCCATAAGCTCTATCAGAATGTTATCTCCTACTTGGGTGGGTTAACAGCATCAGATCTGAATGTACAAGTTACCAAACGCTATCAGTTAGAAAAGTCCCTGCATTCTAGACTGTGTGGTACAAACAATTGAAGCTATAAACATCTCACATATTAAATACTCAGCCGTTCAAACTGTTTTATCCAAATCCTGAAAATTTAGACGTTGTTGTTACAATTATTTCCATTTTGTAGAAAGGAAAATTGAAAAGTTCAAGGGCATATAAAACACGAGAACTTTTCCTAATTCTTCCCACCATACCTTCCGTTGTGCTTTATCTTCCTCGGTAGGAAAGCAAAAGGCTCAGACTATAGGAAGATAAGGGGCAAACTGTGCAAAAGAATTTCCTGATAAAATAACTTCTAGAAAAATCATGATCTACACACTGAGGATCTCATGAACAAAATCTGATTCACTATCTTCCTTGGATGGTTTCCACAGCACCACCCAGATCTGCGGTTCTGAAAACTCTTCACAACAATTAGATCGTTTCCAGGAGCAAATGTCCCATCCATCTCGTATCCCACAACCTCCTGCTGACCACGAAGTAAAGCAGTGTCCAAATCAGTGTGGTGCCGCTTTTGATGCAGGTATCAGGGAAGTGATAAGTAGTCAATCATCAGTCGCAAGAGAATTGCTACTTCTTGTTGCTTATCATAAAAATCCAATTGTTGATTCAACAAACATTTATTGAGCACTCACTTTACCCCTGTCAATTGTTATTCACCTTGCGTATAATGACGAACAAGACACACAGGTCACTCCTGGAGCTTTCAGACTGACAAGGAAGGCAGCCAATGACAAATGGCTACAGATGCGTGACAAGTCCTAAGAAAGGGCAAAGATGGGAGCCCAGAACTGGGCAACCTAACCTACCCCTAGTCTGAGCACTGGGAAGCTGTCATTGAGTAAGGGACATGTAAGCCAGGACTGAAGGAGTAAGTAAGAGCTAGTCAGACAAGGACTACTGGATAAAGCAAAGACTTTGTAAAGAGTCCAGTAACCATGTGGATGAAGGGGGAGGCCGCCATTGCAGACAGAAACTAGAGGGGCACTGCGATGGCTTTTACGTTCCCTGCCTCTTCCCACAAGAGTGCCTTGGCCACCTTGCTCACAAGTCAGCTGCCTACATACGGAGGGACCAAGGAGGGAAAAATCAACTCAATCTCAAAAAAGCACCACAAACTAAATTTCCTGATATCCCAAACTGATTATAAATGGTACTAAGGTGACCCAGGCTGCTGGGTCCTTCACAGACTCAGATTCCTGGAGTTGGAAGAAGCCTAAAGTCCTTCACATGGATCATACTCTGACCTTTCACTTCCTTCCTTTATCATGTATTTACCGAGCACCATTTACACGCCTGACACTACTCTGGGTGCTGGGGCTATGAAGACAAGTAGAGCCTTCTGTCTTCAGGAAGCTTACCATTTAGTGTAAGAGGCAGGTGAGAGACAAATAAACTGACCTATAGGGGCAGACAGCCACCCCTTCTGGAAAGATGGGGCTTTTGCAGTTTGAGAAAAGGCCTCTGAAGAGGTGACATTTGGAAGTGCCAAGGGAATTAGAGAAGTGGCAGGAAGGCTAGTGTCACTAGGCAGAGTAGGGAAGACAAGAGAATGATAAGAAATGAGGTCCAAAAGAATGCAAGAGCCACATCATACAGTGCCTCCTAGGCCTTGGTGAGGACTTTGGAGTTTATTCTAAAGTGGAAAATTTTGAGCAAGCGATGACTTGGGCGTGATCTCATGTATTAAAAGAATCCCTCTGGTCACTCTGTGGAGAATGGATCGGCAGTGGGGAGGTAAGGAGTAATGGAAAGACTCAGCATTCTA